CAACGACCTTCATAATAAATATGTTGCTCACCTACTTGATGGGAAAGAATTACCTATTACTTATAATACTTATATTTGTCAATCTAATCAAGTTCCCGATGGTTCGTCGTCAGTTAACACTACTGTTGTTCGTTCAGTGTCTAAACTCGTTGCCGCGTTCATCTCTTTCAGTAAAAGCGGAGTAGGTGGTATTCACGTTATGAAAGAATACAACAACTTCTATCATCCTATGTATTATTTGAACTACCAAGAAAGTGGATACTACAATTCCGACCTTGATGAAGAATTTCAACTTCAATTAGGGTCAAAACTATATCCTGAGTATCCTTGCCGTTCATTAACACAAGCATTCTATTATTTACGAAAAGAATTAAATTTACCATTGTTCCATCAACACCATTTATCAATTGAATATTCTGCTTATCGTGTTGATAAGTTTATCTTTGCTATGGATTTCCAAAAGGTTCCGGATTCTTCATATTCTGGAATTAACACGCGTGCTGGGCAACAACTTTTAATTCGTTGCAAACCTATTGGAAATATGGTAACAGCAAATATGCCAGATACAATATATATATATAACGTTAGTGAGTGAGCAAATATTATCCATACGCGATGCCGGAGTTCAGATACTTGATTAAAAATAAGTAAAAATGATAATATTAAAAAAAATAATCATTTTCTGCTATTAATATATAATGCCTTCAATAAATTTAACAAACCTTGAAAATGTTGTAGCGCACGCAATTAGTGAAGTCAATTCTGCAAGCGGGGTGACAAACATTAGAAACATATACGCTAATCAATCAGATATAATTGGTTTACTCAACAACAAAGCAGACCAAGTAGATACTTACACAAAAGCACAGATTGACGCTAATTTTTACGATATAACTCAATCATACAATAAGACGGAAGTTAATGTCAATGTATTATCAAATAATATTAGTTCAAATACATTTTTAATAGGTAATCTGACAATAACTTCAAATACAAACTTACATAATATTTCAGCAAATACAAATTTAATAAATAATTTAAATTCTACTATGACAACTAATTTTAATAATATTAGTTCTAATTCTAATGTAATTAATACAAATATTCGTAATATTTCATCTAATACACATTTAATAAATAATTTCTACTATAACAACTAATTTAATAATATTAGTTCTAATTCTAATTTAATAACAGGATTCAATAGCACAATAAACTCACATATTTCAGCCATAACAGATTTACAGAATATGGAGGTTCATTTAATGAAGCAGATTATTATAATAAAATAACAACTAATAATTTATTATCAAATAAGTTAAATACATCAATATTAAATAATACATTAATTCATAATATAACAACTACTGCAACGTTTAAAATTGCAGAATTTGGAAATTATAATAATTTCATTGAAATGTATAAAAATTATCTTGATAGTTATGTTTATGGAGATTTAAGTGGAGCAACTATGTTTTTAAATCAAAGAGGTTTTGGAGACGTAGAAATTAATAATTCTTCAACTTTTCAAAATGATAAATTAATATTAAATCATAATACTACAATATTAAGTTATTTACAAGAATCTGGTTTATTTTCGTGTTCGTCTATTTTACGTATAGCAGGTTCTGATGCTAGATATATTTTACAGTCAGATGGATTAAGTGGATTAATAACAGGAAATACAAATACTATTAATTCAACAATTACTACTAATAATTCACAGGATACATCATTAGGACAAAAGTTAGATAAAAGAGACACTAACGCTCAATCAGTAGCAGGTGCTATTAATTTTAGTGATAATACAACTTTACACAGTAATTTAAATATGTTGACTACTGGAAGTATAATACGTACTAAGTTTAGCACTACACCTTCGCCTAATTTAGGATTGCAAATGACTTTTCAAATGTTTAATAGAGAGTTCAATACTAACAGAGACGGACGCATGTGGATGAGTAGCGCAGGAGGTCAATGGGAAACGCAAATCGGAGACGCTAATGTTGGATGTGTTTGGGTAAAAGATAGATTTGGTTTAGGTGCTGTTGGTGTTAATGGTTATGTTTTAAACTGTGCCGGAAAATCGATATTTACTGATGTAGTTGGTTTTATAGGAACTGACAAGGCAGTAAATCTTAACAATGGTTCATAATTGGATTTTAATAATAATGGTTCAATACGAAGATACACGCCCGATGCAATAGAAGGTTTATGTGTGTCTCATGATGATTTCGCTGCCATTAGTGTTGGTGATGTTAGTAATGCTTCTAATCAGTTTATGATGTGTGATGGATTAGTGAATAAAACTATTTTCATAACCCTATTGATGTGTTAGGTAATATCTGTACGAATGCTGATGTTAATTGTGATAATGTTAATATTGATACTGATGGTAAATTAACAATTGATACAAACTGTGAATTATATAGATATGTTAGTGCTTTTTCATCTTTTGATATGAGAAATACCGATGCTAATTCTTCAATTAGATTTATTTGTGGAGACCCCGCTGTTCAGTCTAACATAGTCGGGGCAGTTAATATTACTAGCGGATGGACTTTTAATACTGCTACTGCTGATTTTATGGGTAATTTATTTGCTGATGATGTTTATATTAAAACTAATGGAGCATTAAGAAGTAATCATATAGCGCCTAACGGAGGAACATTGGTAACTATTGATACTAATTTAGCAGTTCAAAATGCATATTTAGCAACTAATACCATTCAATCATTTGATTTAACAACGGTTTCATTTTTGGATAATATTTCAATGACTACTGGAACAGATATATTGATGGGAACAAGTGAAATATCAACTTATTATGATGGTACTAATTTATCCACAATTGGTGTAATATTCAGAACGTCAAATACAGCTTTTAGAGTTTCAGATAGTTCAACTACACCTTCAGTTTTATTATCTATTGATAAGGCATTTGGAACAACAGTAAGTACTGAAAGTTTTACAAATAATGCCTCATCAACTTTTAACGAAAATGTAACGGTTGTTAATACAAAAACATTATTTGTTAATGATATTCAAGATGCTTCAGGTGATGCTATTGATATTACTGCTGGAACTGTAACTATAAATGGAAGTCTAATAGATAATTCTGATGTAAGATTAAAATATGATATAGATTTACCTAAAAAGTAATTGTATTAGTACGATTAAGAAATTCAAACCTAAAAAATTCAAAAGAAAAGATAGAGACGATAAGGATGCAATCCACATAGGTTATATTGCTGATGATTTATTAAAAGCAGTTCCAAAAGAAATTAGTAATGTAGTTCATAGCAGTCGTGAATATTTAGGAATTGAATATACAAAAGTACCAATATTATTACATAAAGCTTTACTGGAAGTAATAGATAAAGTTGAAAAATAGAAAAAGAAATTAAGGAGTTGAAAAAAGAAAAATCTAAATAATAATATATAATGGGTAATTCAAATAGTAATGTTGAAACTTCAAGTATTGACAGAATCAATGATATTGATGTAGAACAATCAGATTTAAGTAATATTGATAAGTTACAGTTGAAAGCAATTAAGCAAATGAGTGAAAGATTAGAAAAACTGGAGAAAGTAAAATGTGACAAATTAATATATAAATTACCAGCGTTGAATTTGTGTAGTTATAGTTTGTTCTGAATTAATAATGTTAAACATTATTAATATTATTAATTGTAAACATATGAATGAAATTTACTAAAAAAACTTTGTCTTTCATCATTGATGACTTTAATAGTTATTTTTTCACTTGTAATGAAATAAAATTAACCATATTACGGCTATACACTAATTTAGTTTCATGAAGGTCTTTATTAAGAAAATAATAAATATCGAATAAATTAGTTGATGTTAAAGTACGATTACGAACATGATTCAAACATGTAAATGAGGTAGATGTAACAAATATCTCATATTCAATTAATAGTTTTAATGGTTTATGTTTTTGATGTAATTTATCTAACTCACTTAAGTTAAAAATATATGATAAATCATTTTTTATAATGATATTATCAATTTCAAAATATTGTGTATTCTTTAATTTGTAAGACTTATACACTGGTTTAAATTTATTAAAATAATTTTTAATAATATTATTATTTCTTTTTAATAATCTAACATCACCTAAATTATAAAATAATACAAGGTTTTTAATGTCTAATGGTAAATCATAAAATAACATAATATATTTGTTTTTTAATGCTTTTTCAAATCTAACATAAAACATATTATTAACATCTTTGGAATTCATATTAACATAAAAGAAGGAGTATGGCTTATCATCTACCGCTTTATGATACATATTTAACAGTTGCTCTTTATCAACGATGGCGGAGTTTTCCTCAATGAATGACATTAACTCTGATACATTCTTTAACTTGAAGATATACAACGAACTTGAATTCAACCTAATGATTGGTGCAAGGACACGATATTTTTGAACGCTTAAACAAAAACTAATGGCGTCGTGTCTACCTCTCGTTGCCAGTCCATGAAGTAACTTACTATATCTAACAAATTTAGGGTCGTCTGCAAAATCATCAACACTGATTAAAACTGAATGTAGTTTCTTCATCTTCTGTTCTTTCATATAATGAATTATCTTTCTTTGTGTGTTAATTATTTCTTCCAGTTCTTCAGGTTGGTAGGTGTCATAATATAACTTTTCTTTTTCATCATCAACCTTCATATTATCTTTTTGATATTTCTTGACTTCAACGAAGGTAGGGTCATTATGCACGCCACAAGGGTTTTCACTCACGCTGCGTTAAGAATGAAATCAGAAGGATCCTTTGAGCCAATATAGCGGAGTGAGATTGTGTGGGGCTCAATGACTGCAAAAGCAAACGGAGGGGGGGGGAGCTGTAAACACACTGTGTATAAAGAAACTTTTACCTGTGTAGATATACATTGGTATAATATCTGTGTGTGTTACATAGTACCAGTCCATGGTAGGCACATCCGTGATGGCTAGACCAGAGAGCCTGCTGAAACCAGGCGTGCTTCTCGAGTTTGCTCACGCCGCCTCTTCTCCTGCCAGAAACGTGCGTGCGGCAAGCAACGATTTTGGGGCGGTTTGCGGCTTAGAGCTTCAGGATCTGGGGGTGGGCCGTTTGACTAGACCCAATCATTCCATTTGCCTCTGGGCGCAAAGATGGCTCATGATGGTGAACCTCTGAAAACATCAACACCAACCGCCGCAAAGACCACCCAAACCTTTCCCTTGCCCAAGGCACCTGGAAGCGGCAAAGTCTGCATCTCCAACGTTTGAACTCAGGTTCTTTGAGGTTCCTAGCCTTACCACGCAATTTGCACCTGGGCCTCCTTGCATTGGCAGGCGGCTATTGGGCTCCACCTGACACAGGTCCAGCACGAACTGCTTCCAAAAGCCTCGGCTTCCGGGCGGCAAAAGATGGCCGAACACCGCCTTCCGTGGGGTGTGCCGCGCATGGTTTGTGGCTTTGCTTTGTGGTTTGTGTTTTGCGTTTCGTTTCTGGCTTGTGGGGTATTTCAAAGTTTTGTAACCTGGCTTGCAGCGGTGATTCCCTCACCTTGATGTGAAAAAACAACTTGAAGCACAAGATCGTGGGATCCTTTGTTTTGACCCACGCTTTTCTCGGGCACTGACACGCGCAAGGGGGGGTTGCACGTTGCTTTGGTCTAAAACAATGCGAGTTGGGCAGCTTTTCCGGAAAGCCAGCGGAGATCCTTGAGCACCCCAAGACCTACAGGCCACGGAAATTCTGGTGAAGAGAAATTGCTGTTGTCACCGTTCACTATGTCCTCGCATCTATCTCAGGAAGCACCAAGTGATGGGTATTGAGGAATTAGAGTCATTAAGACACAATTTGGGGAACAGATCGTCGGTGAACAGATCATCGTAAGGCCCCCCACAAAAAAAACGGACAGAAACCAACGAACATTGAAAAAACAATCCAAATTCAACCACCAGTAACACGTTAGAAAATTAAACATTAACAGCCAAAAACAGTAATTAACAAACAACAACAAGCAACAAACTAACAACAAACAACACAACACGAGCAACAATGCAACAACCGGCACAATACAATAACAGCAATGGACAACCAAACTTAAACAGACACAAACAAAACAGCCAACCAACAATTCAAAAGCAACAAACGGCAGTAAATCAAAAGTACATAATACCAACAAACAACACACAACACAGACATAATACTACTACTGCTACTGCACTACTACTACTACTTGTACTATTGACTACTACTACTACTACTACTACCACTACTACTACTACTACTACTACTAAACTACTACTAAACTACTACTAAACTACTACTAAGCTACTACTAAACTACTACTAAACTACTACTGCTACTACTACTACTGCTGCTGCTGCTACTACTACTACTACCACTGCTACTACTACTACTACTACTACTACTACTACTACTACTACTACTACTACTCACTACTACTCACTACTACTACTACTACTACTACTACTACAACAACAACAACTACTACTACTACTACGACGACAACACTACTACTACTATTACTACTACTGCTAGGGAGTGACCCCATGAAAGACCCATTGCGTAACTATTAATAACTATAATTGACATAATGTGTCCAGGCATCCCCTAATCACGCCTGAATGTAACTGTAACGCTTTGCCGAACTGGTAAGTGAAGCACAAGTCAAAGACATCCCTTTTTCTAGTCGGGCGGCAATGAGTTTGCAGAAATGATGATAGGACATTAGCTCCCCGGCAGACACACATGGCACGCCCTGATTTTGCGTTGCCAAGGGTATGTCGACCGCAAAATCTGCAGTAGTCTATAGCAAGACAAAAATAAGACCAACTAAACGGGCACACAGCTTGATTCATTTCCAATGGGATGCAATCACTTCGCATTGAAATTAAGTCAGGTCACTCAACATCCGCTTGCGTGCAGACAACTGTGAAACGGCACTTGGCTTGTGACAGAGTCTTGCGCTTAGTCTGTCACAGAACGCCTCGCCGGATTGCGCTGAGCAGCCACTGTGGCTGTGGCCTGCGCAGCTCCGTCCGATGGGAAGCCAGTGGGATCAGGCTCGGGGAATGTGAAACTGAACAGAGTGACTAGACTAATTACTACTGTTGCTGGCGTCAGTACCGACCTCACTCAGCTGCGCACTCGTCCTGCTGGCCACTGGTTACACTTCCGCTCCAGCAACTGCTCCATTCCCATGGCTGTCGGTCAGCGGCAGCGTTGGTAGCGCTAATATCGTTGTACGCCTGCAGCAGGCTTGCCTCGCCGGCCGAGGCAGATGGCAATGATGATGTCAATGACAATGTCGAGACTGTGCTCTCCCGACATTCAGGCCCATGCCCGCCTCTCCGTCTCTGTATCATTATCAGTAGCTTCCTCAGAATTAGTCACCACCGGCCGCGCGTGGAGCTCAGGCTGCTGTGCCTGGGGGCTGTGCATGGGGAATGTGGAAAATCGATAAGTATGCTTGATCAGAAACAGAGGCCAGCAGCTCAGCCAGCTCTCATAGCTCATCTTCCGTCACATCTGCTGGGGCCTGACAATTAAAAAGTTTCCCTCAAACTTGAAAGGCCAAGGCAATCGTAACGGGTAAGCTGGTGCAGGAGGTGAACTCCTGAGCGCGCCACCTGAGACCTGTTCGCGTGTCTGTAGTCTAGCTTGTCTGCGAGCCACAACATCCTTCCAAAGGCAAAGTTACTATACACACATGCAAACCCTACAAACCCCTAAAACCCACAAACACGTGCCGTTGAAATGTCAAAATGTCATGTTGTGAGTCATGAGCGCACTTCGCCCTCGCAGGTCACAAGCAATCGCTCGCAAAAGCCTGATTATCTGATTGCTGTTTCTTATCTCTGTCTGGAACGAATGTAGAACACACTGCGCCTTGTTTCGGCGCCGAGATTGATTCATCGCGCAACTGACACACACGATGTTCGACGCTGCGAGGCATGGGTGCTTCCGGCCAATAGAAAGAGCCCATGTCTCGACACGTCGAACATCGTGTCACTCGTCATAAGAACGATTCTTAAGAACGACGAGCTCCTCCCTCAACGCGGCAATCATCGTGCGACGCATCAAAGTTTATGAATTATGTGGCTGAGCTGCACTACGACCACTTTGGCACCGGCGTCTCGCATGACCGGGCAGCGGCACGCCCATGAATCTCTGAGTCTTGTCAATTCCGTTGAAAGCAACGCCATAACCAATGGAGCTGAGGTACTGCGTGACAAGCTCCTGTGTCAAACATTCTATCAGACTGTCAGTTTACATGGCCTGCTTTTGTTGCAACGCAGCGTCCTTGACTTGGGCATGTGGCTTGGAAATAATTTCTTGTCTGGTGTGGCAGTCTCACGATGGAGTACGATGCGTTACTCCTTGACCCAGTGCGTGCGGTGGTGGCTCACAGTAAACTGTCTTTCCACGTCAGTTATGTGGTGGCTCAAAGTGACTTTGACACAAGCAGTTTCAAAGCGTCTTGCTTTGAGCCACTACATCTCCTCTCACCAACAAAAGCAGTCCGAGGCCCCGTGGCATTGCTTGTCAACTTGTGCCCCGGAGATGTGGTGGCTCAAACTTTGAGCCACCACATCCGTGACACAAGCAATTTCAAAGCGTCTCGCTTTGAGCCACCGCATCTCCTCTCACCAACGAAAGCAGGTCATGCAACTGACAGTCTGAAAAATGCTTGATGCGCTGTGGGAGGGCACGACATCAGACATCTTTCTGACTCTGAAGTGGCCTGATCTAGAGACTCCAGCTTGGGCCACTTAGAAAGATGTCGGCGCAGCTGCGACGGCATCCAGCGGACGCCAGCGCAGATGCGCCCGGCGCCCCGTCAGTGTCAGTCAAACACACTGAAGCGCGCAAATTCAGCAAAGGTAGTTGCACTGCGCTGCGCTGGTAGCTGACTCTACCCTGACTCATTTTGTCAGCGGCCAGTCGCCGTAGCCTTCTCTGAGATTCAGTCAGGGCCTCTTATTGCTGAGCCCTCTTTCTCTTAATTTGGCTGGCAAGTCAGGGCTTCACTTGACAGCCGATTGGCGCTAAGCCCTGGCTAATTTGGCTGGCAAGTAAGGCTAGTCGGATGTGACTCAGTCAAGCCAAGCTCTACTCCGCGCAGTCCAATCCTCGACCGCGCGCAGCAGACCCGAGCCCTGCAATGAAGCGCGGCCCATATGCGTCCTTCCCCAATAGTCTGAAGTCTGAACTTTGGGCCTGCGCTGCCCAACTGTTTCAGCTTCAGCCATGGCAACAGAGTTTCACGCAGATAAATAGCGCACAGATTTGCTGCACAAATGCGCGCTGCGCCCGTAGCCTACTTTTTGATGATGTTGATCTGTTTGTGCGTGCCACAGATGCTGTTGATCTGTTTGGGGTACAATGTGTTCGACTGTTTGATCGGACATGCGTGTCATGTGCTGTTGAATGATCGTATGCACACACAGCTGATCAATGCTCAATGAATCATGTCTTCTGAGGAGTCGTTGGATAGGGGCTTGGGCCATTGGGTCTGCTACGTTTGGGCGCTGTGTGTCTGGAAAAGGAGGCGTTTCAGCAGGCAACCAAGAACCCTGCTCACATCATGTCTGCACATGCGCTGCTTGACATTTGCGATATGAAATCAGCTGTTGCTGTGCGAAGCTGCTATCAATCACTTGTCATTGCCAGCAAGAACCAAACAATTGTCTTGGTACCTTGCTTCAAGTCTCCCAGGCCGTCTTAAGACCACAACTATACACAACTTAAAAGGATTCACTTCAGAACAGTTGGCATGACACAACCCACACCCATTTGAAAGGACATGTTTATGGCAGGCCTCATTTTCCGAATGGGGCCCAATCAGTGGCTGACACTAATCCGGGTGAGGAGCCTGTGACACTGTACATGTTGACAGTGAGCCATGGAGCAGCGATTGGCACTGAGTCTTTCTTTATTTATTATCACTGCCTGGTCATTGGATCATGACATCTTTGCAAGGCCTCATTTTTCCGACCTCGACAGTGTGAGACAGCCAGCAGCGATTGGCACTGAGCCTTTGTGTATCACGGCACTTTTGTCACACCATCAACCCTGCGCTGCAGGTCTCACGGCAACCTTGTTTAGCCACGCTAAACTCCCATTGAAAAATCCCCCGCAGAATTATCCAAAAAGCCGGTGGCCGGCCCAATTGGATTCAATGATGGAAGCTGGCAGGTCTCAGACTGGCAGTGTCTCAAATGCGGCCCAGCCCGTCTCTTAGTCTTAGGATTGCTGTTGAGGTTCCGCTTTCTCCTGGCACTTGGCATCAAGGACCACCATTTTCGTGTCCAATGGAACCTTCAGCACTTGCATGCACTGCGCCTGCCCAGTCAGTGAGAGCAAGTAGGT